GCTGATGGCGCTTGCGAGATGTGGGTCCTCGGTAAAGCGGCTTTCAAGCCATTCCAAGGTCGCCCGGTACGGACCAACCCACGCAACCATCGTTTCCGGGCGAGATCGCAGTTCCAGCGCTGAGGCAGCAAGATCCGACAGGAATAGTCCCAACTCATCCGCATCCCTAGCGTCCAAAGCATTCGCCGTCTTCCGGACATGACTGCGAAGTTTAGAGATCGCAGCGCCCATGGTGCCCATCAGTTCAAGCGCCATATTCTTGGCGGTGACGCTTGTCTTATCACCTTCTACCAGCTTAACCATCATGAAGTTCAACAGACGAAGTAGAAGTTCCGCTGCCGGCCAATCTGGGTTGTCCATGCAGGTTGTAAAGTCCTCCACGAAAAGATCAAGAAGGTTGCGGTACGGGGTATCGCCGGATTTTGTGGACGTCAACGCACGGTTCACAATGAAGTTAATGACATACGAAGCGTTACGCTTAGCGGTGTCAATCAAGGGCGTTGCAAGAGCGGTAAGCTCCTGGATTGCAGTCGAATGCTGAATCGCGCCGTGATCCTCATCACGAATGACAAACGACAGCTGCTTCCCAGCGGTGACTGCGCCTGCCAGTTCATCCTCTTCCTCGTCACCATCCGAGCGAGTAGCTTTGCCTCCGTGTGTTTTTGTCTCATCAACTTGTCCTGCGCTGGTTTGGACCAATCGCATGATCAGTGCAGAAACTGGCTGTATGCTGTTTCCGTCAACGAGCTTGAATGTCCTAGCACGTTTTCCCAGTGGCAGTTTTTCAAGTGATGTCAGAATCTCGTCAAAGATACCTTGCCGTTGTGCTGGGTTCAAATGAAAAATCTGCGATAACATGTCCATAGCCACCAGACGGAAGCCATCGAACTTCTGAGTATCAAGAACCGACTCCCTTTCTGCATGAGCGGTTTCGAGGAAAATAAGTTGTGAAGCCGTGAACTCCAGGGTGTTGGTGACCGTATCCGACGTGTCGATCTTGGCCAAAAGTACTGACATCTGCGAGAACAGCTTTTGACTATCGTTGAAGAGCGATGCAATCCTCTTCTTCTGGGTGGATAGTAACTTGAAGAGCTCTGCGGTGTTATCGGAACTCCTCAATTCAGCGACCGGAATCACGATACCGTCCATTACTCTTTTGAACAAGTTGAGTGACTGGTCGATTGTATCCTCTGAGTACAGCTGCTTGTCCTCACGCCCTCCACACATCATGCGTAACGCTGTCCTGGCAGCTTTGAGAGCTGCTTCCAACGCAGGAAGCTGCTGGAGCCACGAGTCAACATCAGCGACTACCCATGACTCCTCAACCTTGATTTCCAAAGAGTCGGCTTGCTTCAAGGCATTTTCGCAGAAACGAAGTAAGCGGAGAAGATCTTGGAGTGGAACTTTGTGAAAACAGTTCAGTTGCATGACCTTGGCCAGTAGCGTTTGGGCCTTGGTCTGGCACACTGCAGATAGCGTGCTTTCCCCGTCCCCAGTGAGCAGAACCCATTCGTTCGATGTGCGATTATGAACAGCGTAGTTCTCTGCCTCGAAAACTTGTTGTAGGAAAACCTTCAGCTCATGAAGGGCAGCGTTGCTTCGCTGCTGGAAACCCAAGCTCTCGCCGTACAGTTCCTCATCTAGGTCTTCTCGTTTCCGCTTCCGCTCCGAAAGGTTGACTAGCTCGTTAGGCTCATCGGGGATAGCCATATACTCACTCTTATCAAAGGTAGGCGCATGAGGCAACTCGATAGCAATAGCAACAGCTGGCCTCTGGGAGTTCGAGGAAGCCTGAGATGTCGACTTTGCCGGACTAACAACAAGAGCCGGCGCAGGAGGAGCAGCTGCCTCTTCACTAGGCCGTTCTGAAGCGACAGGTGGAGCTAATTCGGGAGGCGTCGAGAGTGTAGGCTGCTGTGGCGCTGGTTGAGGTGTCGGCTGTATGGGCGCAAATTGAAGTGGAGGCTGAGAGATAGGTGGCCGGGTTGAGACTGGCGGCTCACTTGACGAAATTCCCTGGCTCGCACTGGCTTGAAGAGCTGCCTGCGCCCTCTCGAGTTCGGCCCTGGTAGGTAACACTATCTCAAACCGGGCCCTGTTCTGCGAATGCGCTTGACGGTTCTTCGGAGCGTTGGTAGGAGTCTGTCTCTCAGCTTTATGTTTGACTTCAGGCTGAAGGACCGGCGACTCTTGTTTGATGGGCATGGGCGTAGTCCGCTCGACTTTCGGTTGCTGGCCATTTGCGAAGGTCATGCAGGGAGTATCTGGCGTTGGGTACCTGAACGGTATCGACGTCTGCTCGTAAACCATTTTTGAGAATGGAGAGAGTGTAGATGCCAACGAGGCTATTGGGGCAACAGCAGAAGCGCCAGCGCTGCTAGATGCTCTCGGTCCAGTCTTGAACTTGCTGTAGAGGTAGGTGGTCAGTCCCAACTCTTCCTCACTTGTTCGTCAAAACGTACAACTCTGTGATCTTCGCCCTCTCTATCAAGTGTTGAACCTGACTGAGAGTTTGTTGAACGCGTTTGCTCGGACCTGTGTTGTGAACTTCTTGATTGAGGCCATCAAAGTCCTGGGTGTTGAGGAGGTCGAGTACGCTGGGGGCAGGCGACGCAGCTCCGATCGAAGGTGTAGGCAACATACCTAGAGGTGAAGACGTGTAATGTTAGAACCAGAGTATAGCTTTACTTGCGCCTGAAGATATTGGAGCGAAGACGAGAGCGAATACGTATGAAGATATACGGGGGGAAGAGAGCAAACATGGAGCGTCGCAGAGTTGGGATGGTTTGATCTTACTTGGATCGAAAGGGACGATCGAGGTGAAAGGCGTATATGGCAGCGCTTCATACAACGCGAACGGTCTCGTGAATCCGCCAGCTTGTTGCGTCGAGGACGCGGGCGCGCCCTGAGAGCCATGGTAGTCTGGGATGTTGGGATCCATGGTGTGGTGGTGTGGCTGTTCGTATGCCACATTTACTGTTGCTGCTTAATCACTTTGACAGCAGCATTAGCGCATGGTGATCTTGATGGCTCTAGTCGGCGCAAGTGTCGTTCCAGCCGGAGGGCATCGACGGCAGAAGCAGCAGCGGCAGGAGCAGGAGAGGCAGCACGTAAGGACTCGGGAGCCCAAAGTTCAGACGGGAGCGGAATTCGTTGCCATGCGATCCGACGCTTTCGGCGGAATCGTGTTGTCGCGGAGGGCCTTTGTCTCGCGGTTTGGTCTGGGCGCGTCGAACTTGGAGAATTGGAAGGACGGATGCTAGGTAAGGAAAGGAAATCAAGCTGCAGGCACAAGTATGTCCATGTCGCATCGATTTGGAAGGATCACAGCCCTGGGAGACTCCTGCCTAAAATGAAGATAGAAATTGGGTCGGGCAGGAATAAAGATACGTCAATGTTGAAGTTCAAGATCGGAAGGTGAGGTTCAGGTACCCAAACTCAAGGAAAGTCCAATGGACCCAAATGTTTCCCCAGATCCGCAAAGCAGGGCAGGCGCAATCCAATGCGACCAACCAACAATCGCCAACACGGGAAACAGCCCTGTGAGCTTGGTACTGGAGGTACGGCGCGCAGTAACGCTAATTCAAGTCCCCGAACCCCGGTCGGTAGCACCTGCCATGCCGTGCCGTGGCCGCCCCGTGCTTGTCCAGCTTGCCCTGGATTTGCGTGTTGGCGCGCTCCTCGCCGTGGAGGTCGTGCTTGCCGCGTCTGGCTTGCAATTCCAACACCCAGAACCACGGCCTGCGCTGGAGCCTGGCGATTGGTCCCACCTGCCGTGCCAGCATGCGTGATTCAAGCGACGGTTGTGCTTTCCGTCGTCACTCGTCATCGCCCGTGGCAGGTGCTAGCCTGCCCCGGCTGTCATTGTCGCTGCCGTAGTCGTTTCCGCTGCCAAGTTTTGCCTGCCAGGAAGCAGACCAGGAGGGTCCAAGTTTTCTAGCGTCCAATCAACTGCCATCGTTTGCCGTCCCATCGATCGTCGTGCAGGCCCATTGTAAATCTTGAAGTCCCCAATCCATACATAGCGAATTGTTTACTGCGAAAACAACAAGAAAATCGAACTGACGATATCGATCAGACAAACCACCATCCCGGCACAAACACCACATCTGACAAAACAGCGACAATGGCTGCCATCGGATCCCTCATTTTCTGCACAGACTGCGGCAACCTGTTGCCCGTCTCCAAGGGCAGCGAGAAGAACATTCTTCACTGCGAGTGCTGCGGTGCAGAAAACAGAGGTGCGCAATGCGATTTCCCAAAACTCGTTTCCCCGGTCGTTGTCGTTTGGAAAGCGTTCAAGGAGAAGCTTTCATCTAGAAAAAGGGTGTGTTGGTAGACCAAACAGCTGACCGTTCATCTTGTCTCAGATCGTCCCTCCAGAACCGTCGTCACCAAGTCGAAGCCGTCCGATTTCCCCTCGCTTTTGCGCCAGAAGCTTGATGTCACCCAGACCGTCGTAAGACACGAGCTCAACACCGAGAGAATCGACTCCAACACCGAGTGCCCCAAGTGCGGCAAGCGCGGTATCCGTTACTCCGAAGTCCAGCAGAGAAGTGCCGACGAAGGTTCAACAATTCTTTACAACTGCGACTGCGGTGAGAGGTATGCGACACCGGACGCTTTTAGTTGTGGGTTGTCCTGTCTTTGTGCTAACTCGATGTCCACAGATGGTCGGTCAACAACTGAGCGCAAAGAGCGCATCGATTTACGAAATTGGGATGCTATTTGGGTTCGCGCATCGTTTTGGATCAAACGATATATGGGACAGCTAGCACCAGCAATGGCAAGCCGAGACTTAGTAATGATGGCTTTGCCTTGTTACAACTACAACAACGATACCCCTTCTTTTTTGTCAGGACCGACGACCAGTCGCATTGGTATTATCCTGAGAGAGAAGAGACATAGACACTTTTTGAAATACCCATTCATCCATCCATGATTCGCCCCGAAAAGAAACAAGCAACCAACGAAACAACACGAGAAACTCTACTCCATCTTTACAACGCCTTGCTAGCAACCTCGGGTATCAACGCGTATTCAGCCTGACCGCTCTGCTCAAACTCGGCCATATCCAGCGCAACAATAACACTCTCGCGAACAACCTTCTCCTTGTCGTGGAGGAACTTCAGCAGCGTCGCCTCGACACCCTCCTCGTCACCAAGACTGCCAAGAGCCTCGGCGGCCTCGTGGCGGACCATACTGACCTCGTTGAGGTCGCTGAGGGCCTCGGTCAGGGCAGGGATGGAAGCGGGATGCGAAAGCTGTCCGAAAACAAAGGCGATCTCGTGGCGGAACAGGGCGGACGTGTCCTTGAGACCCTTGGCAAGGGCCAGGACGGCGGGAACGGCAGTGGGGAGGTCGGGAGGAGAGGCCAGGTCGCGGAGGGCGAACATGGCGCGATATCTCTTGAAGAGGGGGATCGATGTGTCTAGTAGTTTCTTCTCGAGCGTCTCGACTGTTTGCTTCTCGTCGTCTTCGGCCATGGGAGGGCGGGATCAACCGAGGCGAAGTCACTGGAATGGTAGTTTATGCGGTTAGCTCAGGCCGCGTGCGCAAATGTGACTGCCAATCAATTTGATGGGATGGAATGCCGGCGTTGTAGAAATGGTGTTTGCATCGTCGTCGCAAGTGTACGTTACCTTTGGCGCAGCTTCTCCTGCTTCCTCTGCTCCGAGTTCTCCCACTCTATCCTCTCGATAGCGATCTCGCACGTCTCCTTAACAGAAACGTCCTCGCCCTCGCGGGTGAGGTACTTCTGGAGCACGTTCAAGCTGTCGGCGTTGCCCAGCGCACCCAGCGCCTCGGCGGCCTCGTGTCTGCACATGGGGTCCTCCTGCAGGTCCTCGAGCACCTGCGTAAGGTAGGGGATAGCCGCATCGTTGCCAGTCTGTCCGAGGCAGTAGGCCAGCTCGTGCTTGAGGAGGGCCGAGGGGGAAGAGAAGGCGGCGGCAATGGCCTCGATGGCCGAAAGAGACTCGGCGGTGCCCTTGTTCTGGACGGCAAGGTGCTTGAGCGAGAAGAGGGCGCGGAACCGGATGGGCAGTGGGGTCGTCTCGGAGCAGAGGCTCTCGCGCAGGCTAGCGATGGTGGCAGACATTGTGGGCGAAACTTGTGTCGGACTTTCTCGGAATTGATTCGCGAATTACGCAATGGGAGGAGAAATTTGCGAGTCAATCGCAAGTTGAACCCAGAGAGAACGAGCAAGGGGCGTAGATAAACAGGTGGAATAGATGGATCAGGAAACGGGACGGGAGACAGAGCACTTTGGAGGAGGACGACGACGACCTGGACGATGGACTCGAAGATCTGATAAGAAAAGCGTGGGGCACCTGCCGCACTGCGAATTGCCATGCCCCCCAGGCACTTTTGGGCTTTGGCGGGGTGCTAAAATTTTTAGAGGGGCATTTGCTAGTGCGCGATAACGATAAGAGCCTTTTTGGTGGACCCTCTTGGCCAGCAGGGTTCCATTGCAGCCCGCCAGGGGCACAGTGGTTCAAGATTCCATTGCTTGGCAAGGGTACCTTATCGCGATGTCGCAAAGCTTTTGGAAAACTGGAACACAGAGAAAGATGCCAACAGAGACAGGATGTTGGTATGGCACCAATTGGTATGACAGATGCATATATCAATTGAGATATCAAGTGTGGCCTTTAGCAGAGACATGACAAAGCGTTGACAATTGTAGCCACAGAGAAGCAGCCCTAAGAAACTGAGGAGTGAAGATTGTATGTTCCGGTTGGTTTCATCAAGCAAGACAGTATATTTGAACTGGGTATATTCGTATCGTTCGGTTTGTTTTAGAGAGCTCTAGTCGGTCTTGACATTCAGCACTCTGCATCCAAGAGCGCAAATGGGTTGTTAGATCGCGGTCTTGCCTCAGGCTCTTGCGAGTTCTTCCGCTTGTTCGACTTTTGTTGCTTTTTGGGCTGCATGATAGCCTCCAGCTGGGGTACCATGTCGTCCTGATCGGCGCATATCTTTGTCAAGCAGGACAGTCCCCTTTTGTCGATGATCAGCTGAAGCATCTCTGGGAAGTTGAAGATGGTCGGGAAATCCGGGAGAGAAGGAAGCCTGGATAAGCAATCTTGCAATTCCTTCAGGGCGGGCGATAGCCCCTTGCCCTGAGTGGCCGCGTACTGCATTATTTGTTGCAGCATCCTGAGGGAATAATAAGTCGCCTGACATTGAGCAAGAAAGTGAACACACTCCCAAGAGGTTATGTCGAGCTTCTCGTCCACTGCCTGCTGGAGTAGCTTCAGGCTGAGTGGCTGGACCTTCCCTTGGCTGGTTGTCATGACCACGTCCTGATAGACGGAGAGTGTCATCCAAACCGCCTTGGAGTTTTTCACGTTCTTGATGATCAATGACAAGACATCCTCAAGCACAGCTGCGTCCATCTCAACCTCTGAGATAGGCGGGACCTTGATAGGTGTTCCTGCTGATGGCTGATCAAGCCTCCTAAATTCGGCAACCGTCGGTATTGGCGACCCAGTCACTGTCTGGAGTATACCGTATGCCAGTTGCCTGATGTCCTTGCTTGATTCCCACGCACTGGTTCGAGTCGGAGAGTCCAACAGGAAAGGGAGGTACATCGCCGGCTTCTTATCCCGACATCGAAGAACGATTTCTGATATCCGGGGGTCCAACACGACGGATGCTTCGACCGGGATCTGAGACCCCGTTTCAGGGGAGAGATACTGCTCAATAAACTCCTTGTGCGCGCCTGGATAGGCTGCAATGGAGTACTTGCTCTTGGCTTTGGAGACCGCTTGCTCAAGAGTGATGTGCGGGTCCATTATGAGCTCAAACGCCAGACACGAAAGGCCATCCTCAGGCTGCAGCGAGAGACGCTCACAAATGTCAGAACTCTTGAATTGCAAGCCGGTAAGCTCTGTGCCGGCTGGGTTGGATTCAATATCCGAGAAGAAGACGACGCTGCCGTTGGGTCCAAGGTTGTGAACGAGCAGGTCCGAATCAGACGTCAGAACTGTCCCGCCATGTTCCCGGACATACTGGGCGCAGAAGACGTCGGCCTCTCCCGGCACAACCTTTGTTTGTGAGGCGTTATGCTCGGACTGTCTCAGAGCGTCGATGATGGAGGGAACGAAGAATGCCGGTGGCGGTGGGCTCACTCCGCTGTGACTTGGTTGTGCCTCGGGGAACAGGTCGACTCTCCTGTTGGAATTCCAGCCAGTGCGGCCCTGTGTCATTCCATTTGCGTATTTGCGATGAAACCCTTGCAGATCCTTGGAGGTTCTCATGAGCCTCTTGGTCCGTTCATCCGTCTTGGACGTAGGAAGGTAGCCATCGAAAAATATCCTCGAACTTCGAAAGCCATGGCGAAAATTAGCATGCTGACGGGAGAGTTTGGGCCAAGGAGTTCGGATTACATTGTGAGACCGCACGCTCTGACCCTCTCAAGCCATTCAAGAGTAGTCCGGCTTAGCAGCTCGTAGGTAGGCTGCTCAAAGGGACTGTTCTTGATGGTTTTATTCGACAGAGATTCAAGATGTGATATGCAAGTGCAGGTCCATCGATGACCAGGTTGCTTGGTTGGATTGCGCCTCGCTGGGCATAAGGCTCCAAATGTTTCCTGAGGTGTGGAATGCCCATATTCGGTTGATGATCTTGATATCCTCGTCTGCCGCTTGGTTTTTGGTAGGCGCGGTCCCAGCGATGTGGTGAGTTCTGGTCCCTTCCGAACGGCGTGACTCGTGAGTCTTCCGTAGGCGGCGGTCCTGGGTGGGAATTTATCCTGGCAACGTGAGGGCGTATTAGTATGTTAAGGGTCTCCTGCCAAGCGATTGCTCGGAGTGTGGTTGAAACTTCGGAACATCAGAATCGTGACTGGCTTCTTTGAAGTGTTGGTGTGTTTCGACATGAAGTTAGACAGTGCGAATTGGAATTTGATGCCCTCTTCGTTGATCGTGGGGTTCCATGGTGTTTGGCATCTTTTATGAAGAACGTATCTCGCTGAGTTCCTGTTCTTTGAACCTAGGAATCATGGCAGTAGCTCCGCTCTGAGGCTGTCATTAAGTTATCTGCCACCATTGACTTTGACCTGCAAGAAACAGGATGGAAACGACGACGCTTTTCATGGCACCTTGCTGATGCCGCCTTCATGCTAGTGACCAGTTAAGAATGGAAGGAGCATGGACCGTGGTAGGCATCTTTGCCGCCTTGTGTCTATTGCCCTTGACAGTCACTTCCCAGGAAAATTTCCTTTAGGAAAGATTCCATCTGGTCATGGACGATTTCTAAAAGTTTACTATTCTTTTACAACATCTTTTACATACCAACGTTGTGTGCTAGTTGCAGTGCAGTGGTTGTGTTCAATTATTATCATGACTTCAGATGATAGCATCGTTCCCCGCACACTGTACGCTTATCTTATCAGGGCTGTCAGGGCAACGCTGCAGCTGCGGCAACTGTACATGAAAATGGCAGGCGCCGCCGAAACGACATCGGCTGGGAGATGCTTCCTTTCAACCATTTGACCCACTTTTGCTTGGATCGCTGCGGGGCACGAGGACAAGATTGAAAAAAAACTAAATTTCCTCCCCTCAAATCCCGCTCCCGAAACTTCCTTCCCCGAACTCACCAACACTCTTTTTTTTTCACAATGCGCGGCACCCTCATCTTTTCGGGCAGTTCGTGCCCAGCACTCACCGGCAAAGTATGCGAAAACCTGGGTATGACGCCAGCTGATGCTGAGCTCACCCAGTTCTCGAACGGAGAGACAAGCGTCCGGATCCTCACCAGCGTCCGCGAGAAGGATGTCTTCGTCGTCCAGTCCGGCAGCCCCAAGATTAACGATACCATCATGGAGTTGCTCATCATGATCTCTGCTTGCAAGGGAGGTTCTGCCAGCAAGATCACTGGTATGTCTGCCGCTCAACAGCAATCCATCCAGTGTGAAGGCTGACCAGGCCCTCTCTAGCCGTCCTGCCGTACTTCCCCTACAGTCGCCAGTCCAAGAAGAAGTCGCATCGCGGCGCCATCACTGCGAGAATGCTGGCCAATCTTCTTGGCGTTGCTGGTGTTAAGCACATCATCACGGTCGATTTGCACGCTTCTCAGATGCAGGGCTTCTTCAAGTGCCCTGTCGACAACCTCCACGCCGAGCCTCTCATTGCCCGCTGGATCAGGCAGAACGTTCCCGATTGGAAAGAGGCCGTCGTTGTCTCCAAGAACGCCGGTGGTACCAAGCGCGTCACGTCGCTTGCTGACGCTCTCAAGTTGAACTTCGGCATGGTCACCACCGACAAGAAGAGAGGCAACGGCAACATGACTGGCAGCATGATTCTCAACCCAATTGACGCTGTCTTGGACCCCATCGGCGAGCAGGTCATTGAGGCCGTTGAGTCTGAGGAGATCCCAACAAGCAACATTACCCAGCCCGTCGCAGGCGCTGCAAGCCCCGCGCGCCGTCCCCATGGGTCGTCTTTGCATAGCGCCAAGTCCCTGCCTTCTCGCCTGCGTTCTTCAACCTTGGCTCTTGACGGTGTCGACGAGGAAGGCGAGGACGGTCTCGAGTACAACGACCAGCGTGTTCATGAGGTCACCCAGGCTCGCCTTGTCCACGGCCACATCGTCCCTGACGACTTCGAGTCGCCGGCCGTCTCTACAGCCACCAGTGTCGCTGGAGACGACCCGATGACCATGTCGTACGCTTCGTTGCACTCTCAGCACCACGCCGCTCTCGGCGGCTCGGGTGATGCAGCTGAAAGTTCGGATGAGGATGAGGAGATCCTGAAGGATCCCAAGGTGGAGCACATGGTCACCCTTGTCGGAGACGTTAAGAACCGCACCGTCTTCATTGTTGACGACATGATCGACAAGCCGGGTTCTTGGATTGCTGCTGCCGAGACGGTTGTCAAGCGTGGTCTGGCCAAGAAGGTCTACTGCATTGCCACTCATGCCGTCTTTGGCGCTGACTGTCTTGAGCAGTTGCAGGATTGCGACTCCATTCATCACATCCTCGTGACAAACAGCTACCCCATCCCAGAGGAAAAGGCTCGCAACGCTACGAAGCTGCATGTTCTTGACTTGTCTTATCTCCTTGCGGAAGCAATTCGTCGGAACCACTATGGCGAGTCGATCTCGCCTTTGTTCCAGCACATTATGGAGTAATATCGCATGGTCCTGGTTTTTGGTTTTGCATGACACATTACAGAGGCTTCATAGGGCATTTACTTGCACCTTCTTTACGAAAGCACATCATCATCAGGTATGTTGGGAGACTTGGATTACAAGCATGGCGTTAGTGATTTCAAACATTGCAAGACACATCGTCTTGGACATTCGGAGCGGAGAACAGCGTCCTTGGACCTTTTGGAACGAGCAGTCAGATACCCAATTGACATTATACGCTCGGTTGTGTGGTTCGCCGCGCAGCTTGTTCTTACCCTCTCTCCCCTTTCTTTTAGTTTGCCCATCCCATCTTGCTTTGTTTGACGCAAGTCAGCAAACGAGTCATTCCCTCCTGTCCTTGCCCCCAAAACAAAATCCAGCGATGCTTTCACTCGAGAAAGCCGGGGCCGATTTCCATCCCAGGAACGGCGCTGAACGGAGCGTTGGTAGATCGAATTTTCCATTATAGAAGGCTCGTTGTCCCGACTCTTTAAGAGTTGACTTCCGCAAGGTTGGTGGGCAATGATGCAAGAGAACCCTTGGGAACATCTCCTGTAAACGTGCTTGCCTCAGCAAGTGTAGTAAGAGTGATGATACTTCACGCTCTATTTGTCCGCGTTGAAGCTTCCGTGGGTAGTTATTTGACCACGAAGCATGGCGGCCTATGCTGATGTTTCACACATCGTAGGATATCGTCTGGGAGTTCTATCTTCAGACCAGCAAAATAGAGAAAACACATTCTTCAACTCAACGTTCGTTCGCTGAAGCTTGCGCAAGTGATTTCTTGTTCATGTCATTGCACGGCTTCGCATCCCAAGATATGATTCATAGTGGGCTGTAGTCGTTGTTTGTCTTGCCCACATTAGTTACTTGAACATTACTCTCAACATTAACTTTTCCCTCCATGCATTACCCCCTTCAAGTAGTCCAAACAAACCCAGGCATCGCACACCTAAATCCACCCTTCCTTCCCACTCGTCCTCTGAAACAACCTCCTCAAACTCCCACTACTCCGACTCCGACTTCCATACCCAGCATTCCCCTTCCGCGTCGGCATTGTCTTACTCGAATACTGCCCCACAACCGGCGGTATTGCCGCTGCCGCCTCCTCCTCCTCTGCTGCCTCAAACCTCTCAAGTGCATCCGCCGCCGTCGGTATAGCACTAATCTTAATAGCAACCGGTGACGACGGCGCGGTAGGCACTCTGTTGTTATTTGATTCAGCTAACCCGAGTGGCGGTGGAGGAGCCAATGGTCGACCAGGTCGTTGCGCAGCTGATGCCGGCGGCGGCGGTGCCGGTCGGGGAGGGAGGGTAGAGACGGGTTCGTAGGAATCATTGGGGTGGAGAGCGATGGGAGGGGAAGGGGAGGGACGTGGCGCTGGGTGGACTATCTCATGGCTGTCTTTGTCCTTATCTCCTCCGCTGCCGCTGGTTGAGTGGTGGCCGAGATTAATGCTAAGACAAGAGGACCAAGAGGAAGTGCGTCCTCTTGTGAGAGAAAGTCTTTTGATGCCACTGTGTCCGTGTCCGTGTTTGTCGGCCGTGTTGTTGTTGGTGGGATTGTAAGATCTGGGAGGGTGCTTGTGAGCTGCAGAAGAAGATGGAGCAGAAGGAGCAGGAGCAGGAGCAGGAGCGGTATTGCTGGGGGTGGTGTCGAGACTGAAACTACTTGTTGCTGCTGCTGCTGCGGTGGAGGTTATTATTCCCATGGCACTTCCGCTAACCGGACCACTTCCACTTCCGAGGCCAGTTCCGCTGGGATATGGACCGCCGGGATATGGACCGCTGGCATTGCTACTACTTTTCGTCTGCGTTGGGTATTCTCTCTGCTGTTGATGAAGTTGATGCTCATGATGCTGTTGTTGCTGTTGTTGCTGGTGTTGCTGGTGTTGTTGTTGATGCTGTTGATACTGCGGCGGCGACTGCTGCTGCTGCTGGTGTTGCTGGTGTTGCTGGTGTTGTTGTTGATGCTGTTGATACTTGCGGCGGCGACTGCTGCTGCTGCTGCTGCTGCTGCTGCTGCTGCTGCTCTCTCTGTTGCTGGTGTTGCTCAACCACTCGCTCGACCACTCGCTTCCCACCAGTTACCCCGGCACCAACTATCCCAGCTCCAGCTATCCCACTCGCAATTGTCCCACCAGCTATCCCAGTTCGAGTACCAGCACCAGTTCCAGCACCAACTAGCCCAGCACTAACACCAGCTCCAGCTCCAGCTTCAGCTACCCCAACACGTCCAGCACCAGCTCCAGCCGTCCTAGCAATCCCAGTAGAAGCAGTCTCAGTCCCAGCTCCAGCTCCAGCCGTCCCAATCGAAGGAGTAGAACTAGAAAACGTCATCCTAGTAGGCGTAACCATAATAATCGGTATCTCAGGACTCCTAGGTCCTTCTCTGTCTCCATGTCTGTAATGGCGTATTCCTCCCTCGCTCATCACCCGTCTTGCCGCTCCTTCCTTAATGATCGCTTTCGTATTTCGCATGGCCGTCGGCGGCGGTGGTGATCCCCTGGCTGTGGTCATTGTTGCTGTTCTTCTTGTGGTTGTGTTCGTAGCCATCGACGTAGGAGTTGGAGTTGTTGTTGATGTTAGAATTGTTGATGTTGGGGTTGAGGTTGAGTTTGCTATTAGGCTGCCTGAAGATGGAACGGATGATGAAGAGGCTGATGCCCGCAAGTCATTCCTCTCGAAAAGTTCTTGCTGAAGGGTATACTGCGCATGATGTTGACGTTGTTCTTTGGTCGGTTTTGGTCTGCGTGACTTCTTGCTGTGTCTCTGTCGGCTGCGGCTACGGTGCTGTCCGCCGCGAGTTTGACTTCGCGAATGACTTCGGCTTTGGCTTCTGGATTTCGATTGTCCGCCGCGGGCGCGGGAAGAAGTCCTGGATCCGGAGTGGGAGACGGAGGGTCGGCTTATGGTTGGTGGGTGTGCAGCGAGAGATGAATGGTGGTTTGAGAGTTCCGAGTAGGCCGTGAGATGGTCTTCGGTTCCGTAGGAGGTTCCATAGTTGTAGTTGTAGTTGCTTCTGGACGAAATTTCCTCCTCAGTGTAGTCCTCATCTTCATTTTCATCCTCGTCCGAAACGCCGTCGTCTTCTTCGTCCGAGTCATTGGAGTAATTCCGCTCCTCGTCCCCGTTGACGACCACATACCATTGCAGTTCCTCCCCGCGCTGAAGTTCATCTCTCAGCTGCTCAATCCAAGTCTGTTCCTTCTCCTCCTCAGGATGCTCAAGAGCATCATGAAACTCCTCGTCATTAGAACGACCGGCTGCTGTACCTCCGCTCCCGGCGCTATCACGATTCTTCTTGTTATTAATAATGGAATAATCGCGTCCATGTCCTCCCTTTTCCCCCTCCTCTCCATTCTCCCCACGCTTCTGCTTCTGCTTCTGCCCTTGCCCCTGCTTCTGTTCCTGCTGCATCCGCTCTTCATACCGCCTCACTTCCGCAAGGATATCGACCGCCCCGTCGACGCGCACGACGTGATCGGATATGTAGGCGTAAGGCCGCGAGACTTCGTCGAGGTTGTTGGGGTCGTATTCTTCGATGACTTTGACTGCTGACCAGCGTTGGGCGCTCAGTTCATCTTTCTTGCGGTTGGGACTGTGGGAGGAACTCCTGCTTCGACTCGTTTTCTTGCTCTTTCGTCCACCATCGAAAGAAGAAGAAACCCCCAAGGTGCTTGGGCTCCTCGATACCGGGGCGAATGGAATAGTGGTGGTAGTAGTAAGGGTGGTTGCGGTGGTAGAGGTTTGGCGAGTCTTTGATGACGAGGTTCGTGAGCCCTGCAACGGGAGTTTCAGGCTAGGACTGCGGCTGGCAGTACGACTTGTTGGCTCGTTACTGCTGCTACTGCTGCCTCTCACATGGATGGCGGTGATGGCTGAACTGGCATCGTCACCCTTGTGCCTTCCTTCGACGCTTTTCCCATTGCCCTTTCCCCTTACTTTCCCTCCCGAACCGCCACCAAGTATACCGAGACTTTCCACCCTTTCGGGCCACTGACTCCTCTCATCCCTTTTTTCCTCACCATCCTCACCACAACTACTACCCCCTATCAACTTCCCCTTCCCATCCTGCTCCTCATCACTTGCTCCGTCCTCACCCTCGTCCTCGTCACTCTCCTCGCTATCCTCCCAACTCTCACCACCTTGCGGGGAGCAATAAGGCAAAAACTCAAACAAGTTGTAAAAACTCTGTAGGAGACAGCGCGAGCTGGTGGGTCGGATTAGCCACTCGGGCGAGACGTCGTCGAGGTCTTGCACGACGGTGTAGACGCGGATGGAGCGGCGCTGCCAGCGGAAGCCGTGGCAGAGGTAGGTTGGCATTGCGAGTCTTTGAATTTTTATATATATATATATTTTTTTTTGGTATGCGCGTGTGTGGCTGTGGCGTCTTCCCGTATGGTGGATAGTTGCTGAATAGTTGGTGGTGAATGTGAGGGTGACTGGCGCGGGCGAAACTGGTAGGTAGGTAGTGAAGGCCCCCTTTATTAAGCTAAATGGATGCTGTGCAATGTGGGCTGTAAGGAGTGTACAGCAGTGGTGCTCGCAGGTTGATCTCGTGATACCGCCGGGTAAGGGGTATTGGACGTCGAGGTATCGACGGGAGTCCCGAAGATTCGTCGTATCCTCCCTTACTTAGATTCGCATGTGAAAGTTGAGTGTGTTTCTCGGCGTGGACCGAACGTGTGGAGGGGGTAAGATAAGCAAACAAACAAAAACACGTCTCAAAAGTCACCGAACGGCTTTTGGGGGCTTGCCTGTTCCTGTTCCTTAACTCCAAATCCTCATGAAGAGTCTGTAAGACTACTTTTCAAGAAGAAGGAGGAGGTCCGGTCTTGTCAAAATCCTCGAGAAGACACAGCGTGGAAAGACCCGTCGGGTCGGGTCGCGGGAGGGACTGGACGTGTTAAAGTTTAAGAGGTGAGGTGAGATGAGTGAAAGTCTTTGTTGTCACGCAGGGTGGTTCCATAGAACCCAGTGAGCCCAGGTATGTAGAAAAAGTGACGAACGAAAGGAAGCAATTAAACGTCCACAAAGTTACTGCACAAATGGCAGTTGATTGGGTTACATCGTCACCCCCTAGGGTCCCCTAGGAAGCCCCCTAGGAAATAGCGACTAGACTTAGCCCCCGGGGCCTTGATTAACCAGTGCCGGCTTGTGCAGATCGTATAGTGTTAATAGCACGAATCAGTAATCGAGGAAATGATCTCGTTGACGAATTTTTGCTGATGATGTTGGGTATAATTGCGACATGAGGATATTCCGGGGTTCGGCTCAGCTTGTTGCCCGCTTTTGAGAGAGGCTGAAGATATTCCCGGTGCCTCGTGTAAACAATCTTCATGTGAAGTCGTTCTCTCGAGCCGGCATGTTCCGCGGTTGTCGTTTATCGATTCGTTCCTGTTTTTGGGTTCCATGGTGCTAGGCGAACTCTCGGATAGGGATATAGGGAAGTTTGCCATCACCATTTTAGTGATATTTTACCCCTGTCATCCAAGTAGCGGAGGCACTCTGTTTGGTTTTGTTCATCTCCCAGGAACACCCAGAATTCGGTAGGGCAACGCTGTGCTGAACAGTGGTGATATCTTGGCAGGCTTGGTATCACTAAGCGTATCCAGCATTACCTGTACCAATTCTGTGTTGTTGATTTTGTATTCGCAACTCCATGCTCCCTCCAGGGTCACGATCATCTTTTTTCCATCATCGTCATCGGCAATCTTGGAAAAAGAGATTTATGATACGATGGAATATCATCCACGTGTTGATCTCGTGTGCACTGTTGGTTATGCGCTTTCCATGCTCGACATCAGGGACATCAACATGGGAGATTACTTTGGACAGGGGACCCCCCCACAAACAAAACCCATTGTGAGCGTAGGGCGCGACGATCCCCTTGTCCAGCTTTGACCGTTCAATGCCGTTGTGCCGCCGTTTTGTCTTATTTCCCCTGGTCCCGCTCGACAGTCAGGTCAAGAGCTCGAGCCTTATTTGCGGACCACGACGATTTAATAAAAAGATGCCGGCGGCTAGAAATATTGACCTTCTAAAGAGCCGCGTAAGTGGGGGGTGTGTTTGTTCCACTAACTGAGATTTTGATATCATCCAAGATTGCATGTGGCATGGCGGAAACGGTTTTGGAAGATGTCGTCTAAAATGAACACTGTTGAGGGCGAGAAGCTGTTTTCTCTGACTGTGCCTCCGTGTGGCGTACACTTCAGGAGGACCTTCCTTTCATGAACTTCGAGAAAGGCGGTTGTCACAAACGAGATTCGGTCGCCAAATATACATAAAGAGGTTGATGATTTCACCATCAGTTTGAGAAGCTTACCATTGCACTGGGAGACCATGTTATGACAGCCTCCAATCGTCATTGCCAGAGCGGCAAAATTGATCTTGCTTTTCAAAGGCTTGTGTTCCCATGGCAAAGTATCGATGCCCGAGATGCAACCCTCCTCGCCTAGCAGCTGAAACTGGATTGATGCAGACGACTTTTATAGCCCAGCTGTGGCACATGAACCTCACCCTGGTGTCCGAAACGGTGCTGGACGGCACCCTCTTCAGCCCAGTCTCGCTTTCTGCCCCAATCGCGCATAACCTTGGGTACTCTATGCCATACACCTCCTTGTCATTCTAGTCGGTGGCTCTCGGGCGCGATTCTTGTGTGTCTCCTTTATCTCAGCCTTCCCTGAATGAAACCGTCCTTTTGGTAGACATTTGCCTTCTTCTCTAGACATCTTCAAAGCTCGGTAGGAGATACGAATGAGGTCGTGGCCTCGCTCCGGCTACACCGTCATGGCGTCGGTAAGATCACAGGGTACTCACCTCGGCATATGTGACTCTTTGATGGCTAACCTGTTCATCTTACCAAGCATCGATACGATGACGGGCTCGAACCGGCCCCTCAGAACTTCCCCGAAGTTGCTCCGCCGCATACTCATGATTATTATGCCCAACAACAACAACACCATCAGTATCCGGAGGTTTATCAAGACTCACCGCCAATACCGAAACTTGGACCATGGCCATACTCGCCTCCTCCACCATCGTCAGGCTATGGCGGCGCAACCACGATAGCGGGCTCGACGGTTGGATCGCAGGCACATGTGGCAGATGCTCACACAACGCCAAAGAGTGGTGGGAAAGGGAGGATGATATGCGGTTGCAGCCTGTTGACCTTTGTTCTGTCGTGTATCATCGCACTGTTGTCCGCTGCGGTAATTGGCCTCGCTGCCGGAACGGGAATCGAAGCGAGTAGGGCAAATGATGCTGTCACCAAGTTGGCAGCGTATACTTTGGCCAACGCGGCCATGTCATCGACTTCATGGTCGCCTGAAATATCGACTACGGCAACACCGACGTCCACGGGTGGTATCGGCAGTGCCACTTCATTATCAGGGGTCGAAATCGATAGCGGCTGTGGCAGTCGGCAAGACAAGGTGAATGGGACGGTTTACACGTCGCTTAAACGTATGTCATCTCTTCCGCATGTTTTGGTCTGAAAGCTCTTGAAACTGTAGCTGACATGAGTGAACGATTAGCACTGGGTCAACTCAGGTACAGGATCTACTGCTCGAGCGATTATGCCCGGGACACATCCAAGACGAACGACTCGATCTCCATATTTACGGGGGACTTTGAGGGATGTATGGATGCCTGCGCGGCGTGGACCAGGTACGTGGTTCCAAAAACCGACAGGAAGGATCCGAAATGGAACTGCGAGGCCGTTTCTTTCATTCCAGCATGGACAAACAGGTCGACTGCCGCGGCGGGCGGCGCTACTGGAAACTGTTACCTGAAACCTGGTCCGGTATCGATAGACAAGCTTGGGAACAAGAACCTCAACGTCGATGTTCATGCTGCCCTTTGGCAGAGTGGTTGATTCGAAAGCACGCGTTTTGAGGAGGAACCGGATAGGTAGCCAGTGGTAGCTTGTCGGGTATTCGGCGCAGCGGAATGGGTATGATTTGGCTGTATAGCATATTGGATGACTTCCGGGTGTTGAAGGATCGTGGCGTTCAGGGATTGTACAGGTTATCGTGTCCGGAAATTTGGTGAGGAATAAGGTCGTGTTATCGCCAATCCGCCATGGTGTTTTCTCAATGCGAAAAGAGCATTCCGTGGAAGTTGCGGACGAAATGTGACTGGGTGTTAGCGTAACAACTGTTCCTTCCATTTTGAAAGGTGGCTGCCTAGAAAAGCGTGAGATGAAATTTGCATTGCAACGGAAAGTGGCAGGAGCAAGTCGATGCCAATGTGATCGACACTTCCGATTCCGGTCGTTTGCGAGTTACTGGTAACCCTGTCTCTGTTAGCAAACGTTACATGAAATACAGAAGGCTAGCGCCAATGGCTAACAGAGTTTATCTGTGAGCTCGAAAGTATTTGGCGGGCAACCCTTAGGGCGCGGTATAAATAAGAGTCCCAGGGTTGTTCATAAGACTTCAGGTTCTCTCCAGACTCGTCTGATGAGCGTAAAATAAGCCATCCACCTTACGGCTGCCTTGTTCCTTTGTCTTGAAATGGCTGAGGATGTCGTGATTTGAACAACATTTGGATGAAAAGAGAGTGGAAGGGTCCGATTGCGGGGAAGGGCTGGGCTGACTTGCAGGATGCTTGGCAAAGTGGGCCCTTGTCAAGTTATGGTGCAGCATGTCAATCGAAAGGCGCGCTCCCCACCTTTTCGGATGACTGGACATCCTCTTTGAGCAACACCATGTTCTCGCTATTGAAGACCATCCAGTGCTTGTGTGACCAACCATCGCCATCCTGGATACGATTGGAAAGGTAAGTCGCCCGCTCGGAATATCAAGTGCGGAGGCTACGATACCCCTGATAGCATAGTCGGCCTGGATAAGTCGAGTCAATTGATTTTTCATCTTTCGTCTTCTCTTCCTCTCTACTCATCCTCTTCTCCTGTGTTCTGTTGAAATGTCATCTTCCACTTGACTTGTGTTGGAAGACATTATACATTGGGCACATGGTTTAAATGTGGTCAACTTGACTCCTCACTCCATCTTTATAACCAACCCGTCAAGAAAGAGTCCGAGCCGGTGGACTGTACCACATCATCATCACCACTTCGCTTTCAGACTACGCCCTTTGAAGTACAACACATACTCCTCCTCCTCCACCACCCAGCCAGCATCAGCCAGCTATCCCATTGTCCCAGAGACAGACCTTACTAGTACTCGTCAGCTGCGCCCTTTGAGGTCTTTGACACCTGCACCATGCCGACCATAGACGAAATGGAAGCATTCATCAACTGGGACGGCATCGATCCAGCGGCCATGCCAGGTGCCCGCCATCCCAACGACCTGGATCTGGCTTTGGAGAATGTCGATGATGATGACTTCGCCGGCTGGGCCCTACAGCACTACGAACACAGCAACCCACTTGGCATAGGAAAAACAACAGATGCCATTCCCAGCCTCGTCTCGCAATCTGGGGATCCCATCGTGGCCTTCGAAGACTCGTTTGATATGCCTCCCTCCCCTTGCACTCACTGTCAGACCAATGGCTATCAGTGCAAGCGCATCCATGAGGGTAGCTACAAGGGATATTGCACAAGCTGTGTTGCCTTGAGCCGCGTCTGTAACTTTGGACTGTCTGATCAGCCAACACTTCCTCGGAGCCCAGGATCGACCACCTCTATCGAAGAGCAAGAACAGCCTTCCACTGCTGCTGCTGTTACACCCGCTACCAAGGTCAATGGTCGGTTCTCGCGCGAGTCCATCAAGATCCTCAAGAGCTGGCTTTCCACCCACCACAAACACCCATACCCCAACGATGAAGAGAAGGAAATGCTACAAAAGCAGACGGGCTTGAACAAGACACAAATTACAGGCTGGCTCGCCAATGCTCGTCGCAGAAGAGGCAAAACTATGGGCGCCCCGCGGTCCATCTCACCCGGCGTACGGAGCTTGTCCAACAATATGGACATCCCACAGAGACGCCCCCAACTGGAGCTCATGAACCCGCTCCAGCGTTGGCAGGTCTCTCCCCCAGAACACGAACCCGCCTCGGTGACTGCCATTGCCCGTGCCGTCACTGCCTCGGCAACTACCCTTTCATCGGGTAGTCCACACAGCAACTGCAACAACTTCACCGATGATGGCTCCAGCAGATCATTGTGTGCCGCCTCCTCGGCTAGCAGCTTCAACACGTCCATCTCCAGTGGCTTGTCATTTGCCTCCGCATACTCGTACGGAACTCATGACTCCCTTGGCTCTTACGGGTCGTCTATGAACCGTGGCCGTAGGCGGAGAAGGAGAAAGGCAGCACCAGTGCCGTCGGGGAAAAAGAGAAATTCCCTCTCTGCGCCTCTCAAGACTTTCCAGTGTACTTTCTGTACAGAGACGTTCAGAACCAAGCACGACTGGCAAAGACATGAAAAATCCCTACACCTGTCTCTCGAAAGATGGGTATGCGCCCCTGAAGGCCCTCGAGCTTCCAACCCTGGCAATGGCCTAGTGTCTTGTGTCTTTTGCGGAGAGGCGAACCCGGATGAAGCCCATATCGAGAGTCACAACTACTCTATCTGCCAGGAGAAAACTCAAGAAGAGCGGACTTTCTACCGCAAGGACCATCTCCGTCAGCATTTGAAGTTGGTCCACGACGTAAGGTTTGTGAACTGGTCCATGGAGCAGTGGAAAGCAACTACGCCCGAGATCCGGTCCCGATGTGGTTTCTGCGGCATCGTCATGGACACTTGGAGCATCCGCGTCGACCACTTGGCGGGCCACTTCAAAGCTGGTCAGACAATGGCCGATTGGAAGGGTGACTGGGGTTTTGACACTCCAGTTCTCGAGATGGTAGAGAACGCCATCCCGCCATGTATGATTCCCGCTCCTTCAACATGTGCTAAGAAAAAATTGCTGACAAGGTCCCAGACCTGATTCACGACGATAGAAACTCACCATGCCCATACACAGCTACCCAAGGACCTACCGAGACAGCCCGTAACGCGTATGAGTTAATTAAGAACGAACTGATGTGTTATCTCGCCAATGAACGCGACGTCAAGGGTAGGGCACCTACGGATGAAGAACTCCAGGTCGAGGCATGCAGAATCATCTATGCAGCCGACGTCCAGACGGACCAAAGCATCTCTGCCATCCCATCTTGGCTACGAGACTTGCTTCTTTCTTCCGAGCCATTGGCCATGCAGGCAAGAATGGCACCTATCCGATCGGCAAACGAGAGCCGCCAATCAGTCCTTTGTATCAACGGCAAGAGCAACATCTTTGAGGATGACCCGATGGAGCGCGAGCTTCACGAGTATGTGAAGGCTCGTCGGCTACTCGGCTTAACCGCTATGGATGGTGAGTTGCAGTATGAGGCCTGCAACATCATCGGTCGCATGGAGGAGTCGTCTAGCCATCCCTCTGAACATGTCGCCAACTTCCTGCTGCGTCTCATTTACGGGTCTGCAAGCTGGCTCGCCGAATTCCGGCAGCGAGCTGTCTTGCCACGATCTGAAGATGTCGGGGACGAGGCAAGGCGCTCCACAGATCCGTCCAAGATCGATTCGACCATCCACAACTACAGCCGACTGGAGAGGGAGCTGGCCGAGTTCTTGCACATGCAACGCTCGATGGGCCTAGAGCCTACTGACATTGACCTACAAAACAAGGCCCGTCTCATTATCTACGAGTGTGACGACAGTTGGAACCAAACAGCCGCCGACAACAGTGACTGGCTCACAGCTTTCAAGCAACGACATGTGTCTCCAGAAGCCAGCGCCGTAGCTTTGGCCACATGCGAGCCGTTGACGCTCTCATCAGTGTCCCAGAACCGCTGCACCCCGTTGATGGACATGAAAACATGGATGAACAGCAGCTGCTTTGGTGGCCCTCGCAATACTTCCCTTGGAAGCATAGGTACTCCAACCTTTGACACCACGGCAGGCGTAGACGGACACATAGGCAAACCCAATAGCGCCGTCAAGATCGGCCCATACTTCTTCAACGACGCCAACTGCTACCGCAGGCTGGCTCGCGAGCTGGGCGCATATGTGGCATCAGTCACGTCACCAAGTTCCCCAGACTGTCATATCCCCAGTGATGAGGAACTCCAACGCCAAGCACGTTGGATCTTGTATCAGGAGTGAGTCACTCTTACCTCCCCCACCTTCATGTCTCTTCCCTCCTTTCCCCCGTCTGCCCCATCCACCCCTCACGTTTCCCTCCGTCCGCAACTAATCTTTTCTCTTCCCCTCCATCCAGTGACGACCCCTGGAACCAAACCGCCGCCGACAACGCCGAGTGGCTCCGCCGCTTCAAGCGCGACGTCGGCATCCTCACCGACGCCTCTCTGCCGGGCTTGCCCGAATGTACCCAATGGAGCGCCGCTCAAGGCGGTTCAGGGTTTGAGCCACCTTACTTGTTCCCCAACCCCAGCGCCCAAGTCACGACGGTGGAAGCGGACATCCCTATCAAAATGAAAGAAGCCAAACGTATGTTTGTCGCGGAGAGACAGACGGCTAATAAATATGCGAGGGGATTCAAGACCAGGTGGCAGAGACCTGCTGTGGTATTCTGCTCCAGGGAGTTGGAGAAGGGGTTGGTGGAGTTTGTTACGAGTCGTGTGATGGGTAATAGTGATGGTGGCGGAGGAGGAGGAGGCGGCGGAGGGATAAGGGGGATGTTCCCGAGTGACGAAGCTATTCGCGTCAAGGCCAGGGAGATCCAGAAGATGAATACCACGTCGGCGGATGATGCGGTGCTACTAGAGATGTTCAAGACGATGATGAGGGAGAGGCTGGGGCTGACTTCGGCATTGGGTTCGGCTTCGGCTTCTCTGGGGTCCGCACAGGACTTCTCCGGGATGGGTGGTAGTGGTATGGGTATGGGACTGATACAATCTTCGTCGGTTGATACTTCGGTGGTGCCGTCGCCGACTACAGCTGCCGGGTTTAGTACTGGAACTACTGCCAGTCCTGATCTGAGAATGGGCATGGATTTCAGCATGGATCTGGGTTTGAATATGGGGGGTATCAGCAGCTCTATGAGCAACATGGGTACCATGGACATGGCGAATCTAACGGACTGGTCATCCTCAAGTTTGAACATGATGGGACTCGGAACGAGTATGGCTGATTCTTGCACCAACATGGGCATGGGTATGGGCATGGGCATGAACCTCGACATGCCCAGCACGACCATGAGTACAAGCATGCCCACCAACACTGATATGGGTCTGTTGGGAGTAACAGGAGGAGTGGCAGCAGTTGGAGGAGGGGGGCAAGATATGATGATGATGTTTAAGGAAAACTCGTATGAGATGGATGATCTTTTACAGGCCCAGTCAAGCTTTGGGTTTTCTTCTTCCAACGACGACGATTTGGCGGTCATGGGAGGAATCGGCCAACTATAATCTGGATATGCTGGATTAAGGACAATCATGGAGGAGGAGGAGGAGGAATATGAGAAGTTTGGTTGGTGGTGATCTTGTTTGTAGGTACCTAAGGCACCTTTGTCTAGGCGTTAGGGGGGGAAAAGTTTAATCTTGATACTAGAAGCGTGGCTTGAAATATGAGATACAAACGTTCGTCACGTCATTGTAAGGTATTGTTTTTCCCAGCAACGAACGATTCGAGTGACGAGTCGTCTTTACATGATCCTCGCTGTCGAATCATCCAATTACTTCCATACCTCCACCTAAGTACACTCAAGATATAGGGGGCTGGTTGCAAATGCTACCTACCGCAGCGGGAGTATGTGGAGGGGGTCTAGCGTAGGAAGGTCCTACTCGTCAAGGCTTGAAGTGCCTCTGGCCCCATCTACGACGAGTACCAGACAAGTTTGGTTTTCCAAGTCAGTTGGTGAATGTCACTCCCGCCTTGCTCCGGAGTGTGCTACTGACCCGCCCATTCACCTAGAATGCCTCCTCAGCTAACCCCTCGCTTGCCATTTAGAGGTCAGGTGCAGTGCTAGCCAGCGAGAAGTAGGGTACCTCTGACTAAATTTTCTGATTTCCGAACACTGACCTTTCGTGCAGCATTGGTTGTTGTTGGTTGTACTTACCCCCCTGTCACGACCGTGCTGTGAACTACTACCAGTAGTGATATCCAACCTGCTGCTTATGACATCCATAATCAGACATTGAAGAACCCCATTATCATTATAAATGTAGTAGGGTCTTATCTTTTTATAAGATCTCCCGTCTACAGAACCTCAAGGTGCTGTGCTGACCTGCTAGGTAAGTTAGGTAGGTACCTCTGAGCAGGCGGTGAGGAAGGTGTAAGCTCGCCTACTTTGTGAGGCTTGTCAACCCTTCTTTTTTCTTCTTCGTTCCCGTCTTGGAGATTGGCACCTTCCTCTCCTTTTTTTCCGGTGTAACATTCCTCATTTCCTCCGACAGGATGTGGTATTCTACAGCTGCACTTTTTTCTTCTTTTTTTCTCTACCTAAGATACCTTCCTTCTGTATGCGCTTCAAGGCTTCCTCTTGTGCTCACCGGTCAGTGTAAATCATATCCACCCGCAGAGGTATGGATAGTTGTCTGGCAAAAGCAACGAGATCGCGGCTAATCCGGTGGCTGTGGATGGTATTAGCATATACTTTGCACGCCGTATCGAGAATCACCTACATATCAAGAAAGGAAAGTTATGTGATCGAGCTTCTTGCTGCCATGCTATCACACCCGCCCGTCGGACTGTGATGCATGCTTGTGACACTCCATTAGCATGTCAAGGTCCTGTTCCCTAGTCCAAATAAGAGAGTGTTACCTCTTTTGGGTTGTGACCTGAAACCAATTGAGAAGTCGCTTGTTAAGTTAGCAGAAAAGAAGCAATTGGCACCTGAAAAAAGCTCAGAGGACTGGGTACCCTGCCCCCATCACCCACAGTTAGTTTTGCCTCTCCTGGTGAGCCATCTGCATCAAACTCTTACCTCACTCCATGTTTCTGATGTTTGTTCTTCCACTTCCGAAGCTACTATACTCCTCTTTGAGCTGAAATAGAATTTCGGACATAAGAGGGTCGATAGCCGCTACAGTCATCCCGTCAACACAAAGTGCATGACTTGGACCCGGAGAGAATTCCGCGATATATGGAGCATCCCCGCCGAATCCCTCACCGTTTGTCCAAAGCCTCGGTATTTGTCCGCTGTCGAACGGCAGTCGTGGTGGTGAAAGTGAACTCCATGTTTCATTTGATTTCATCTCCGGCAGATCGTCCCAGGCTAATATCCGTGGGGCCAGCAAGGGACCTTTACCGCGTTGGCACTGAAAATTCCCCTAGACTCATCCACGTTAGCTGCTAGAGCAGTTACAGTTTAGTGTCATCTTTACAGACGTCCATGGCGTAGCACTGGGGTTACCGATTCTGAAAGTGAGCTAGCTGTGCAGGACGCTAGAGACAGAGACCGCTGTAAGACAACGTCCATCATGATTGAAGTCGGAGCACGAAACGTTCAGTTTCAAACCAAGGTTAGTGATTGTGTGAGCACAGTCGTTTGCTTTTTCATCGTGCTCTGAACAGGCCTATCGCTCCTTATTCTTCGAAAAGGGACCATTACTGCATCATCGCTTACACAACTGGGTATAACATGGCCTGCCGCCAGTGTGGGTAGAGATCGCCAAGGACTAGTTGAGAGCCATTTCGGAAACAAGTTCGAACTTGTCCAGGTGATGTTTCTGATGCGGTCATCCCAATGCTCGCACAGACAGTGAGTAAAGGGGAAGGGGACAGGAAACACAAGTGGAGTGGTGTGAAGGCAGGTAAGAACAGAGTATTTGTGCTGAAGCAAATCGATCCGGAGTGCAAAACACACTATGCCGCATCTTGCTTCATTAGTATATATATGACTTGGAGGTAACATGGCCTTGATACCGGCTATGTATAATGACTGTGTCGAGATATCGATGCCAACGAGAAACGTACGAAGTGTCCAAGAAGCCAGGGAAGCGAGGAGCCGCGATTCTTGGCTTTGAAGATCTGGCAAAGCTAGTGATGTAGGGTTTGCTATGTGATCATGAAGGGGTGGGTCGACCGATATCCCACACTCACCAGCATCAACAGACAAACAGTTCGGGAGGTGGCAGGATCGAGATCTTGGGATGAGTTGGCAGAACGCGCGGCAGCATGATGAAAGGAGTTTTTGTGCAGATCCACGCAACACTCTCTTCATGTTTCCAAAGTGGACGAGGAGAAGCAGATGGTCCTGGGTCACAGGTGACCGGAATGCCATAACAAAATAATCCAAAGACAATTCAGATGGGTGTCCACTTCCATGAGGGATATATAGAAGCGTTATTGTGTGTTTGCTGAGCGTGGTTCGCCAGCAGAACCTTGACATCCTAGGGAACCAGACAGCGACTTTATACACCCAAAAAGGGCAGGTATTGGGCGGTGCAGGCGGTGACTGATTATCTCGAATTGTTATCGAAACTCAAAGCGAGAAAAGCTGGATATGAAGCAGCAACTTCAATGGACCGCCAGATGATAGATCCGCAACAAAGCATGGTCGTAGGTCTTCTATGCTCGGTCCAACTCAGAGCTTCAGAAGGTATTCGAGTTGCACATCGAAGTACCTGGTTGGCAGCCAAGTATACTGTGTGTACTTTATGACCTGTCTTCCGTCTTTTCGTCTCGCAAGGTTGTAGCTGCTTTCAGCGGGCATCGCTACCAGCCCCTCGGTAGGAGACAACGAATTTGTTGAGTCATCCATGACATTTTTTCTCCTTCGAAAAGATATGATACTAGACCTGGCACACGACCCGATGATACCGAACCGAACCAAGAAGAATTTATGTATCGATATCGTAGACATGGCTCCCATGCCATGGTAAGTCGTACTAGATCAATTGGTATTGATAGCAGACTTCTCAAACCTGGAGAGCAATGAAGGAGAGGCGCCAGTTGATGGGTTGGCAGATCGCGCAGGATTGATCTGGCCTTTCGAAATGGAGGGGTTTGAAGGCGATTGGCGCTCGCAGCGTTGCTTGAAGCGTTCTCCATCTGCATTTCTCAGACATCAGGGACAGGGTATGGGCGAGTTGAAAGTCGGAGCTCTCTCCGTTATCGAGACATCGGGGATTATTCGGCAGTCACCGTATTCAGTCCGGCAAGTCGCTCAAATCCATAACACCGCTTCAGCAGTCGTCCCACTACTGTGACACAGGACTTCTATGACTCTCAACGTTGAGCAACATGGAGGAGCGCGGTTCATAAGACACTGTCTCTGAACCAGCTCGCCCAGCGCTGTGGTTGGGTGGTGTTAACTCGATTTTGGAGAGAGGCGATAGGATAGCTTCAGTCGACTCTCCGCCGGCTGATATGTAATTGACCGCTAAATGAAATGACGCAGGTTAAAGCCGGAAGCGAAGTCTTGGATGTAACTTGGTAGTGATGATGTTCATGGTCCCCGAGTGGTTGGCGAACGACCGGAAATGCGTGTGGGATGGCCAGAAGAGTGGAGGAAGAATGGTCTGCGAGAAGTTGGTGGTTCGGTGGTTCGGTGAGGGCAATTGGTGGACACCGACATCACGATGGGTGTGTGTGCTTGCTGTCCCGAGGAAGCGGTTGAACCATGGAGCCCCGGTCAAATCGCGACAATCCCGTTGAGCACGTAAACTTGAACCCTGCTGGCGGGACCTCCCCCGCCCCCTCCGCCTCATCAGCCAATCATATCTGGTGATCGGTTGTCAGCTCGGGACAAGGGGCTTGTTTACTTTGGGGTCTTTCCTGTCTGCTGGTAATCTGTGGGACCCATGCCGGTGCTTGACGTGCAGGGCCTTCTGCGCGGACAACCCCAAGCACTTCCCAGATGGTCGAGTATCTTCCAGCAGGATTTTGAGTGGACAGAAGTCGACCACCAAGTTGGCTTGATATAGTTCTGTAAAAGTCCCAAATCCCTTACAGAACTTCGGTTCCATCGACCCTTCCAGGCCTCCAGTTTCCTTTCTGTGACAAACCAGAGTTCTCCTTTGCAGTGGCCAGTGGGGTCCTGTCAAGCGGTGTCCGCTTGAGTCCCGCCCCTAAAATCTCATGAAACATCCCGGTCCGTGTCTCGGGTACTGTGGAACGGCGGAATGAAATGCCAAAGCCCTGGGTCATGAGCCGCATTTCTGGGTTTTGTCATCCCAGAAGGGCATCCCAACAGCCCAAGCATAGAGAATGTGGCTTCTGCAGCCAGACTCATGGGGCCATCCCCCCTTTTTCCCGGGCGGTGCAACGTAAGCAGAAAAACTGGATAGGACCTGCCTCTGGGAATAAGGATGAAGGTAGCAGCACCGGAGTATGAAATTTCTAGTACTTCCGATAGGGCGTATCCTTGATCCTCGGAGTCACATTCTTGCCTGTGAAGAATGTCATGGCTCTGCCCCCTTGCTCCTTTGGCAGGCGGATTATTGCTCGTACCACAGGAGATGAA